ATCAAAAGCTCAGAGTGCTGCATCCTTTCTTACCTAGAAAAATGGCAGCCACCCCAAGGTAGCCACAGATTGATCCTCCTACAACATGGCCTCAATATGCCATTTCCTGTCCCAGAAACAATATCGTTGTCTCTCTAGCATAACCAAAATTCCAAAGCTCAAAGGCCTCTGTTATTTGGTTCTTTAATTATGCTGCCAGCCTGGTCTCTCACTCTAACAGAACATGACATAGGCTTTAACGGGCCAGTATAGACACTCTTACCCTCTCCGTATCCTCAGAGTACCCCTAGGCCTTTGCTCGTGGTGGCTCCTTGTAGGACATGCACCACGTCTCAGTCGCATCTCCAAATCCCAACCATAGTTCTAAAGCAAGCATGGGACCAAAGTTATATTCCTCAGTCGTGATCAAAATTGATTTTGCTACAGTGGCAGGCTAAATCATAATCCCTGCCAAAGAACCCCACACCCACACATCCTGGCAAGCACTTTTCTGCCTGAGCTATCTCAGCAGTCTATTTATTTATTTAGAGAGTGTATGTGTTATGGAAAACTATAGCATAAAAGAAAAGGTTGACAGAGATGGGGTGAGGAGAAAGGATAATAAAGGGAAGCATGACCACAGTCATTAGTGACCACAGTCATTAGTGAATCTCCAGTCCATGGTGGGTCTTTCTGCCTCCTCTTCCTCCTCCTCTTCCTTCTTCTGAGATAGGGTCTAATATAGCCCAAGCTGGTTGCAACTCACTATGTAGATGGGCTCATTTTGAACTCCTAATCCCTCTACCTCCACCTCTTGAGTGCCAAGATTATAGTTGTGAACCACTGCGCCTGACTTCTGTATTGTCTGTATAGGTGTCTTGTATATGTATTAGAATCTGGGCCTGTGTTTAAACTCATGGAGTGCACCCTAGTGTGGATCTCTTCTGTGTAGACTTTAAAAAAGGATAAGCCATGGAATAGGAAAAAATATTTACAGCAATACATATTTGATATAGGATATGTATTCATATAAATATACACATTATTTGGAAAATTATATATATACAAATGTAAGAATAAAAAGGCAAATGATCCATTTAAGAGTGGCAAAATATTTGAACAAACATTCATCAGAGAACATGTCCAGAGGTGGGGTTGTAGCTTACTATGTAGACCAGGCTGGCCATGAACTCAGAGATCTGCCTGCCCCTGCTCTCTGAGTGCTGTGATTAAAGGCAGGAGCCACCACACCATGATGGTTCAATGGTAGACTTCTCACCTAGCATCAGTGAGGCCCTGGGTTCCACTCTTTGTAGCACAATATCACTGGGCAAATGCAAACTAAAACCACAATGCAAGCTTATTAGAACTGATAAAACTAATAACGTCTTAAAACAAAGTGACACTACCACATGCCAAGGCTGGAACTGGTGGGATTGCTGGTGGTAAGGGAAAAGCGCCTTGTCCTCCCTGGGAAATAGTGTGTGGTATTTTCTTAAAATGTTCAGCATACCGCATGATCCAGTAACTGCACTTCTTCGTGTTTAGCCAAGGAAAATGGAAGCATATGTTCATACAAAAATCTGGACATGAAGGATTATAGCAGCTTTATTCATAATTGCCCCAAATTGGAAACAGCCCAAATTCCAAATGTTGTCTGGCTGTTGAAAGGATAAGCTCGGCAATCTATCCATGCATCTTAGCATGCCACTTGGCAAAAGGAAGGAACTATTCATATGTGCAACGAGGATGGACTTCTCATTTGCATTATGCTAAGTGAAAGAAGCCAGACTCCTATACCAGATGATTCCATTATGGCCTCTAGAAAAGGAGACTGCTTTAGGAACAGAAAGGAAGTCAGTGATCCAAGGGGTCACTGGGGGTCCGAGGAGGAGTTGACTATCATCAGACATGGGGACACTTTTAGTGACAACTATTCTGTGTCAGGACAGTAGTCACATGACCATATGTATGTGTCACTATTCACAGATGTGTATACAGTGAAGAGTACACTCATTGTATGTAAATTATATTATATGGTTTTTTAAAAATGTCAACAATGGTCTTCAGAACTGGGAGAACTTGACATTATGAGATTTACTATCCTTCAAATGTGTTTTCCCATCAATTCAACAAGGATTGAGTATATATGTGTGTCATCTATCGAGTTAAGCATTTTGGAGATTGTAATAGAAGTTTAAGACAATCTCAAGTTGTTGGTAACTATGAGGACCAATTTTGCAGTTGAGACTTATCTGGCAGGTTGTAGCCGGTCATTACAAATCTTCCCAGGAGTAAGGATGCTCCGTCTTCCAAAGGTCAAGCACAGTTCTGTGTTTTTTAGATTATAGCTGGGATATAATGGAGAGGGAGATAAAGACACCAGCCTATGAGAAATGATGTCAATAAGAATGGAGATGGAGGATGTAAGTTTTGATCTCTGGCTGGCAGATTAAGCACATAGTATAGGACAAATTTGGGGTAACTAAAACCAAAAACTCCTCAGTTTTCATATGATTTTACAAATTTTTGCTACTTATAAAGAAGGGCAGTGAGTATTTTAAATGTTGGGGCCAGGTCTTCATCTGTCTCTCTGTCATGACAGCAGAGATAGAAAAAAAAAAGGTATACTGGTAAATTTTAAGACACTAGTGCTGGGGGATGTCTTTCTGTATGCTGTGAATATGTGTTGTTCCCATTGGTTAATAAATAAGCTGCTTCAGCTTATGGCAAGGCAACTTAGAGGCAGGTGGGAAATCCAAGGAGAGAGATAGGAAAGAGAGAGGTGGAGTCTGGAGAGACACTAGCCTGCTGCCCAAGGAGCAACACACCAGCAGACAGGTAAAGCTACAGAACACGTGGCAAAACATAGATGAATAGAAATGGGTTAATTTAAGATATAAGAACTAGCTAGCAAGAGGCCTGTCATAGGCCATGGAGTTTGTAAATAATATTAAGCCTCTGAGTGATTATTTTATAAGCGGCTGCAGGGCTGTGGGACTGGGCGGGAAAACTTTCAACTACACACTAGAGAGGGCTGGGGTGTTTGTATTTGTAACAGCCATTCAAGCAACACCAGGTGCTGCTGTGGGATGTTCTGTGTGCTGTGAATATGTGTTGTTCTGATTTGTTGATAAATAAAACGCTGATTGGCCACTAGCCGGGAAGGAAGTATAGGTGGGATAAGTAGATAAGGAGAATTCTGGGAAAAGGAAGAGCAGAGTCAGGAGATGCCAGTCTGCCGTCCATGGAGCAGCATGTAATGCACACAGATAAAGCCACAGAAAATGTGGCGACATATAGATTAACAGAAATGGGTTAGTTTAACTGTAAGAGCTAGTCAGTGGTAGGCCTGAGCTAATGGCCGAGCAGTTCTAATTTATATAAGCTTCTGAGTGATTATTTTATAAGCGGGCTATGGGACTGCAGGGACCTGGTGGGACCAGAGAAAACTTCAGCTACAAGTTACAATTTGGGGGTCACCATAATCGGATGGGAAAACGAACAGAGGACTGTAAGTGTGGCTCAACGGTAGAGTGAGCCTAGCATGTGCAAGGCTGGGCCCCACTCCCAGAACTGTAAAAAACAAGCCCCAAACAAAACCTGTAAGCCATGAGATAGGGAGAAACTTAAAACAGTGATTTCCAAGTTACAACCTTTGATGGACTTAACATTAACAATGAGGGAAAATCCCACAGACAGCGAGGCAGGGAGGGATGCCCGGATTTGTTTGGGGGTGCATGTGCAAATGGTACACATGGTTTGGGGAGTGTTTTTTGCACCCCGAATGTCTTGGGCTGCCTTGCATGTCCTTGAACAGGCCAGGCAGTCCTGCTGGAACAGCTGCTGACCTGGCCCATGACCTGGCTGTGCCCTCAACATGAAATGTTCTTCCCAGCAGAGCTGTGGCGTGGTATGCCCATGCCTCCCATTTTCTTATGCAAGTCCTACCTTCTAAATGAGTACCCTGAAAAAACAAAAACAAAAAACAAAACAAAACAAAACAAAAAACCAGGCCTTCTCAAGCCTCCATATCTTTCTCCACTTTCCTTTCCCATGGTGCTTATCTTCTTACTTCAAAGCATTCTTGACTACTTAGAATGTCTGCTGTTCATTGTCACCTCCCTTACTAGAACGCAAGCCCACAGTTTCAGGGATCATTGGCTTTTTGTTCACAGACAGATAGTAGTTGCTCCATAGATATTTGAGAATACAGTAATAATCATTACCATCAGCATTCACAGAGCAGATGCCAGGCCCGCACATTTTGCAATGTCAAATAACCACAGTCCCTTGATGAGGTAAGACCTGTTCCTGTTCCCATGTCACAGGGAAGGAAACAGGACTGCAGAAGAGTTATGAGGGTCTGAATCAAGGTTGCCTATAAAACTAGAAAAAGAGTTACCAATGTCCAGACGTGAAAACGCATCTAAATTCGGAAATATGGATCCCAGAAAGCATGAACACACATACCACTGGGGGGTTGGTTGGCACTTGGAAGCCCAGAGGGTTCTGGATTGCCAGGTCTCAGTCCTGAGATAGATTGTCAGAGGAAGCCATTTCAAGGAGTACATTCTCCATGAAAAACCTCGCAAGGAAGATATGGAAAAACAGAGGGGTGAGGAAAGGACTTTTGCATAGTAATACAAGTAGAACTAAATTCAAGTTTTTAATTTCTCAATAATTAGATTCAGTTTAAATTCACATTTTTAAAAAAGGTAAATGCAGTCTGAATCTCCTTTATCCCCCATCTAGGGTAAAATATACCTAAAATAATATCTACCTAATGATTGCAAATTACTAAAATGACTTCATGTAAGTAAGTAATTTGGTTTCTGTTTTACCCTGCAGACAGAACAATTTATTATTACTGCTAATGAATCTCTAAGAATTAATTGTTAAAATGGGATTAACAACACCAAAATAGTTGGAAGAAAATCTTAATTTGGATCATGTTTTCCTAACTCTGTCAGCAGCTTCTGATTATAAAAATAGTCTCAACCCCCTTAGGCAGGACTTACTCTTCCGGTGTCTGCGGAGGGCAGGGTGACCTTTTACTGGCTTTTGATGACCGCCCTCTTGTGGCGGATCGTGAGGATGCACGTCTAGCCCCAGGGTTCTTTGTGAGATCCCAGCCCGCGTGGTCTAGAGCATTCTGGGATGTCCCTGGTGAAGATTCCCCTGCTTCCTCTTCCTTCTCTAGGAGTCTGCAATGTTCTGTAAACACAAGGACAAACGCATTGCTGTTGTTTCTATATCGTAGTTTTTGACTGTTTATTTTTGTGCCAACTGCTGTTACTGGGGCCAATTTTAATTGTATAATAATTATTTTTCTCTTCCTGTTTTACAGAGGGTTATAAGTAAATGGGAGTAGAAGAAAATCAAGTAGGCTAAAAGAATTTCTTTTCATTCACGCTTCTAACTTCACTCCTTCTCCAAATGACTGAGATATATATGTATATATATATAATAACAATAATAATAATAACAATATATATATTGTTATAATAATAACAATATATATATTGTTAATATAATATAATAACGTTATATATTGTTAAAAATACAAGGCAAAACCAAACAGAACTCAGGAGATTGAGTGTGGTTAGCATATGCCTATACTTAACCTTAGCACTCAGGAGGATCACAAGAAGTTTGGGGCTACACAACAAACCAACAAACCAACAAACGCATGAACAAATGAACTGCCAAGGGATAATATGTATTTAAGCCTGAGAAATACCAGGAGGTTTGACATTGAGAGTTCTCTCGTTAAGGTAGTGAATCTCAACCTGTGGGTTGAGACCCCTTGGGGTCGTGTATCAGATATTTACATTACGATTCATAACTGTAGCAAAATTATAGCTATGAAGTAGCAACGAAAAAAAATTTTATGGCTGGGGGGGGGTCACCATAACAAAAGGAACTGTATTGAAGGGTCTTCTTTGACCCTTTAGGAAGGTTGAGACCCACTCACTGTCTTAAGGTCAAGGAGAAAGTGGTAAGGTTTGGGGCTGATGGAAGAAGAGGACATTTGTATCAACTCTTTTGTAGGGTCTCTCATGCACAGACACTGTGTAAAGTGTCTCTTGGAAACGTAAACAAACCGTTCTGGCGACAGCTGAGCTTGTTTAATGACTGCCATTTACACTTCACTTAATCAAGGGACAATGCCTTTAATTACATATAAAATATTTTTATTACTTGAGAACTCCATACATGCATACAATATATTCAATAATACCCACCCCAATTCCTCCACCTAAACCCCCATCCACTTCCCATCCCCCTCCTAATTTCATATTCTCTTTTTTTTTTTTCTAACTCACTGAGTTCAATTCGCACCTGAATATGAGCGGATGTGGGACCATTCACAGGAGCGTTGCTATCCTACTAAGGACCACACCTCTAAAGAAAACTGGCTCGCTTTCCCCAAGCAGCCCTCAACTGTCAAAAGCTCTTCAGCTAGGGGTCTTGGGAGCCCCTCCCCGCTTCATGACGGAGTATCAACTGGCCTGCTCTTGGGCAAACACAACTGTAATGAGTTCACGGGTGTAGTGGTCCAGCCCGGTCCAGAAAACACTGCTTTACCCCGCCCCACCCCCAGGCTGGCTGATTCAATCTTCTTCATTGCTCCCTGAAGCCCTGTGGAGAGGGATGTGGTACAGCTGTCCACCTACAACACATTGAAAGGATCTTGGATCTCTAGGCTCGGACTGAATTGGAGTCTGAGCTCCCGTACTTAGCAGTCACAGCGATTTCAGTGAGAAAGGCTCCTGTAGGTTCATAGGTTTGAATGCTTGGTTGCCAAGGAGTGGCACTATTTGAAAGGACTGAGGAGGTGTGGCCTTGTTGGAGGAAGTGTGTCACTGGGGGGTGGGCTTTGGGGTTTCAAGAGCCCATGCTGAACCCAGAGTCTCTCTCTTGATCAGTGGGTTGGGATGTAGCTCTCAGCTACTTCTCCAGCACCATTTTTGCCTGTGTGCCACTGCGCTTCCCACCACAGTAATGGACTAAACCTCTGAAACTGTAAGCCAGCCTCAATTAAATGCTCTCTAAGAGCTGCCTTGGTCATGGGTGCCTCTTCCCAGCAATAGAACAGTGACTAAGCCAGCAGTCTGACTCTGGGCACCTTGCTTCGCCTCTTGTTGCAAACAGATAGCATTCCCCACTTACTTCCATCAGATGACTCAGAGGAGGTAATCATGGAAGAGCCTGGTCCATAGCCTTTCATTTAACGCTCCACTCCACTGCCCACTCATCGCCCATTATCATAATGTGGCTGGGAAGACAAGACGCTCCGAAACACCAAGCAGATGAGACAGGACGCTCTGCAAATTGTTCGCTCTGTGTACCAGATTTTCCCATCATACTATCAAGGGTGTCTGAGTGGCTGGAGGCTATCTGAATAAGAGCACATAGATTTAGAATTGTGATATTTCCCAGGTTAACTGAAGTCTTTAAAAATATCATTATTTGTCAGCTTCTAGTGATGTTTGCCTGAGAGTCTGTTTTGTTTGCTAATGCCTCAGGTGCAGCAGCTGGCCCTGGCTGATATCAGTGGCCTGATTCAGGTTTGTGATTCCCAGTTTGCAATTCTGGAAACCAGAGTTCCGAAAACAAAAAGTTGCTTTTGTAATTCTCCTGGCAGCAAACCCTGATCTGTCTCCACGAGGAACTATTTGTAATCCATTATTTTCTTAGTGTGAATGCTTATGCTCTTTTCCCAGAACTGCTACTGTGTGTGAGCACAGAGTGCTGTCTCTAGCCTCACTACAGCTCTCACATGTACCCCGTGTCCACTTTTAACTAGATTAATAGACCTTAAACACATTTGGGGCTAGGGTTTAAGCTAAGACTTGTGGCTCTCTTTGTGTATACTGTCTGTATTCTTATGCATTACATACGTATCTTTAGGTTGTACTTCACAGGATTTGCTCCTAATGTAATATAATTAACTATCATTTATTCATGCATTTGTTATTTGTTTTGAGGCAGGGTTCTCCATTCCCAGACTGACCACAAATCCTCAACCTTCCTGCCTCAGCCTCCCAGAGTCCTGGAATCTCAGGTGTAACCATTATGCCCCATATCAACAAACGATGTTTAAAATGGAAGGTTAAAAAGCAAAGCTTTTTTTTAAAAAGGTTTTTTTAAAAATCTCTTTCAATGTATTTGCTTTCTCTTCTTCCTCCTTTTTTGCTTTCTGGATATGCCACCTCATCCTTCCTCCCCTCTCTTCCAAGGTTCTGGTGGAATGACTGGGCATCTTTTCTCTTTCTTTTCCTAACACTTGGTTCAGTTACCCAGGAAGCCAGCTCTCTTTATTCTTCTTATGGCTACTTTTGAATCTATTTAACTTACAATATCCAAAACAAATCAATTTTTATTGCAATAAAATTAGCCTTTCAGATGGCTCACAGGTAAAGGTGCTGCAAGCCTTCTGACTTGAGTGTACTCCCCAAAGCCTACATGATGGAAGGAGAGAAATGACTACACAAAGTTGCCCTTCCATGTGGGTACCATGATGTGCGTGTGCGCGCGCGCGCGCACACACACACACACACACACACACACACACACTCCAAATGAGTATGCTGAATAGTTTTGTGACAACTTGACATAAGCTATAGTTATCCGGAAGGAGGCAACCCCAGTTGAGAAAAACGCCTCCCCAGCATTGGCTCTCAATCCCTGGGTTGCAGCCCCTTGGGGTTTGAAAGACTCTTTCACAGGGGTCACCTAAGACCATCAAAAAACACAAATATTTACATTACGATTCATAACAGTAGCAAAATTACAGTTATGAAGTAGGAACAAAATAATTTTGTGTGTGTGTTTAAAACTACAAATCCAGAATTTACATATCTATTCAAATTGTCAGTTTTTTTGTGAGTCAGTTTTGGCAGTTTGTGTCCTTGGAATTTATTCATTTCATCAAAGTTGTATGATTTTTTTCCACACATTACCGTGTTTATTTACAGTTCTTTCATTGCTATGAATACGGTAGTAACTCTCTTTTTCCCTTCTAATTCTAGCCATGTAATTCCTCACTTTTTTGTCAGTTTAGCTTAAGATTTCTTGATCTTTTCAGGGAATAAGTGTTTGGTTTCATTTATTTTCTCAAATCTTTGTGTGTATGTACGTGTGTGTGTGTGTGTGTGTGTGTATGTACGCACGCGTGCGTGTGCGTGTGTGTGTGTGTATGTACGTGTGTGTATG